TTCATGAGAATGGAGCGCAGAGATCGCAGCTCCCGACCACCCTCATCTACCCCACCCTCCCGCCTTAAGAAACTCACCCCCGAGGAGCGCACCTACCTCCAAGCAAAAGGGGGTTGCTTTCGTTGTCGCCAATTGGGGCACCAACAAACCAACTGCCCCAACGCCGCACGATTCACCCGCCAGTCCGCCTCCACTCGACCCGCAACCTCTGCATCACCGCCCTCGGCAAGCGAGGGCCCCTCCTTATCATGAACAAAGTCCCCAGGACACTGACCTGGCATCGATATCGCGTCTGTCGGCTCACCCATCGGTGACGCCCTCCGTCCCATCGATGGCCCATCTGGCATCGACAATTCGTCCGCCTCCCCCCTCTCCGGAGACACCCCCTCCACCGGACGACTCCCAGGCGTCGCAAACGCCTCCCACTGCCTCATGCTCCTCTACCCTTCCTCCAAACCCATCCACTATCACCTTCTCCGATGTTATTGAGGAACAAGCCCGACACGATCGGCTTGTCCACTTAGGCAACGAACAACGCCACCTCAACAACATCATCTCCACCGCCAACTCATCTCGTTTCCACCTCAAATTCATCGCTGCCACCCTTGGTGCGTCTACAACTAAGTTTCGAGCCCTCCTCGACATAGGAGCCACCGATAACTTCATCACCAACGCGTGTGTCCGCAAAGCCGGTCTTACCTCTACCGGTTATGACTCCCCGATCACGATTCGCCTAGGGGACAAAGACACTGCCGTCGTAGTAGACCGCACGGTTTCCGAGACCATCATGACCGTCGGAACCCTCCGCAATCAGGTCTCGTTTGATGTCATGCACTTGATGTGCGACATCGTCTTAGGAACCCCGTGGCTGGATTGCTACATGCCATACGCATTCCACCCCAACTTCCTTCGCCTCACCACCACCCCCGACACAACCAGCGACATCCCCTATCTCCCATATCCGACCTCCCAAGGCTCTGTCACCCCGCACCAATTCCTCCACATGGCTCGCCTAAACCCCGACTCCGCCTACTACTGTCTTGTCCTTGATTACGAAAGTCCCAAGGACTTACTCTCGACGGACAAACCCGATCAAGCCCCCCCCTCCAACCCCGCCATCACTTCAATCCTCGACGAGTTCAGGGACATTTTTCCCGAGTCCTTACCCGTCGGACTACCTCCGGATCGTGGCGTATCGCATACCATCCATTTGGAACCCAGACATTCTCCACCTTGCCGTCCTCCATACCAACTCTTTGTCCCCGAAGCCGAAGAAATGAAGCCATAACTTGGTGAACTCCTTGAAAAAGGGTTCATTAAGCCAAGTTCATCCCCCTTCGGAATCAGCTGCCATTTCGTCAAGAAACGTGGAACTTTGGAACTCCGCATGCGCACTGACTACCGAGCCTTGAACCGGATCATGATCAAGAACAAGTACCCCCTACCTCGGATTTCCGAGCTCCTTGATCGTCTCCGTGAAGCTAAGTACTTTACCAAGATCGACCTTCGCAGTGGCTTCCACCAGATCCGTATCCGCGAGGAGGACACCTACAAGACCATCTTCCGCTCTCAGTTCGGCACTACGAGTTCTTCGTGATGCCATTCGGACTCACCAATGCCCCCACTACCTTCCAATCTACCATGAACCACATCTACCGCAACCTCCTCGAAGTCTGTGTCGTCGTCTACCTTTATGACATCCTTGTCTTCAGCCCCACCTTCGAGTCCCACATTCAGCACCTCTGCCAAATCCTCTCGATCCTCCGAGAGCATTGCGCTTGGAAAGCATGAACGCCGTGATAACGAGGCGTGGCATTGCGCCCTTATCTCGTTTCCCAGATCACTAATGTGAAAAAACGTCTCTAGGATGTCAGAGCCTTGGGTCCGGCTGCACTACTCTCCACTCTCCGAATTCGGATAATTTTTCAAAGTTGCACTAAGGGTCTCGTTAGACACTCCTAATAGAATCCTAAAATTTTTAGGACGAGTCCTAAAGTTTTTTTAGGATTTCGTGCGGCGTCGTTACACGCAATCCTAAAAATCATCTTTTAGGATTCGTCCTAAAAGGTCTCTCGCGGCCGGTTTTCATATGCGTATACGCAACCACGTCGTCGATGTCTGTCCATTCCTGGCTGGTGTCCATGGTACACACTGCGGTAGCCCTTGGGCGGGTGAGGACGGGTCGGTGAAAAACGTTGTCGGCGCGAATACCCTTACAAGGGTATCCGCCCTGGTTTTTGCAAGTGACAGAAAATAGTTTTGGTTTAAAATTTAAGTATACCGTGCTAGGCGCGGCTACGTATGTAACTTATGTTGACAGGAGGGTTGACTATAATAGAGAGTGCTAGGGCGCGCAGGTTTGAGGCGCGCATGATTCTTTTCTGTTGTTGATCATAAAGCCGGCACGGACGTCAGTCGTATTGTTTAATGATATTATTAATACCTTTTTATTTTTGATTAAGTAGGAACTGGGGATATTTCCCTTTGATTGGTGCGTTGGCTGAGGCGAGCGCTTTGTGTGAGGACGACGGCGACAACGGCGACAGTGTGACTGTGGTAGGTCTTGGCACACAGAGGGGCACGAGTGGCGGTTGTGGTACAACTTCGGTAAGTCGGCGCAGACGCTGGACCTCCGCATGCAAGGTTGTAGGCGGAGATGAGGCTCAGGCCAATTTCCCTGGCCCTGAGCGCAGCGCCGCACCGCCTTATATGGCACTCGACGTGTATTGGTCTCATGCTTGGGCATAGCCCTATAGGTTACGGTATTAAACTACTATTATGAAGGTTTGGGGATCGAGGCCAGCGAATGTCGGTGCAGCAGCGGCGGAGCACAATGGAGAGAATCGGGGGTTGAGGGCCCGACGGGGCTATCCCCCTTTGGATTTAGTGACAAGCGCGGCGACAAGCCCGATCCACGGGACCGGTGGGCTTAGTAGTCCCCGCACCCTGCTTAGAGATTTCTATTTATAATAATTTATTTTATCTTTGTTTTTTCTATATTTACCTATTATTTCTATTGGTATTTGCGGTCCCGTTTTGGTTCGGGGTGCGGTACCGCGATTGGCAGTCCACGTCTTAAAGAACCGCAGGTGGGGGTACCACCGCAGCTAAGTCCTTCGGGACATCCGTTAAAATTGGAACGATACAGAGTAGATTGGCGTGGGGCCTCGGCACCGGTAAAGGCTATAAAACGAGGGCCAGCCGACAGCCAGAGCTTTTCTGAGAGGCGGGGGTTGTCGGACCACGCGATGGAAAGAGGAGCGGCCAGCGCTGTCGGACCGCGGGCTGTGCTGGGTACGGACAAGCCGGGCAGCAGCGGGAACGACCCGAAGCAAAGGCGGTGGTCGGGGCGCAGCGGAGCAGTGGATGGACTAACGCTGAGGTGGAGGCCCGCAGCGATACTGACGAGCAAATCGTTCGTCGGGCTTGGGTATAGGGACGAAAGACTAATCGAACCGTCTAGTAGCTGGTTTCCTCCGAAGTTCCCTCAGGGTGGCAGGCACTGTCGGGCAGGGCCGCTGCGCTAAGGTGCCGAGCACTGCGCAGACGACGATAGTTTGGGCAGTGGGTTGCGTCGTGCAGCAGCGAGCGGGACATGATACGTGCGGGGTACCAATGAGCCGACGGGCGGCATGGCGCTGTGCAACAGCAGGGCGGAAGGGTTGGCCAGGCAGCGCAGCGTTAGACAGCAGCTGACGGAGGAATAACGCTGTGAGACTGGGCGCTGCAGTAGCGGCTAACGCAGGAGTGCCGAAGGCAGCAAGGCAACGGAGGAGCCGTAGGAAGGGGGGAAATGGACCTAGACAGGCAGGCGTGCTAGGTGCATTCAGAGGGCAACGGAGCTAGGAGTAGAGCAAGCAGCGGGCGGATGACCGGGAGCCAAGGCAGCAAGGTGGCGGAAGTAGGAATAACCCGGGTGAACCTGGCCCGGACTTCCGCCCGGGTGCATTCACGTGGAGATGGCGGAAGGGTGACCCAGGCGCTATGAAGAAGGGGTAACTCACTCGATTCCTAACGGAATCGAGCAGGAGGAGAGTCGAAATCGGGTTTCTGGAGGGCTGCGACTGCGGCTATGAGGTCAGTTTTAGATGATAGTTAGTAAGATAGAAGAGACGAAGAAAAATGGGTGCGCGGGGATATCGGGACATGGCGGAGTTAGCAGCGGGGAAGACCGAAGCTACGTCCGATTCATGATGGAATCGGGTGAGTTATAGTGCTAATCGGGGGTTCTCCATCATTGCGAGTACAATGGCGAATTCAAATCTAGGCTTAGTTCTAGTATGGAGTTAGTATAGGAGGTGTTAGTGAGAAAACAGATGAGCGGAGTGACCGGGAAGAAAGGACAAAAAAAAAAAAAAAAAAAAAAAGAACCTGGATGCACTTTGCGCCAGGGCCATTCGACGAAAGCTATGGTGAAGCGAGGTGAACGAGAGGGAAAGAAGTTCGTTTTCGCCCGTTCCTCACCGGAATCGGGCGAGGTAAATGTCTAGATGGGGGTTTTAGCAAATGGCGAATGCAATGGCGATGTTAGTTTCAGAAGAAAGTCCGCAGATTAGGGAGTTAGTAGAAAAAGTGAAGTACGTAGAGCTATGGAGGGAACGGGGAGAAGAGGAAAAGGAAAATGTACAGTGCGGTTAGTCACGAACAGGATCAGGCGTAGGAGGAGGTGATTCCGGGGTTCTGACCCCGGGCAACCATCGTGGTGAAGTTAGTTTGGGAAGGGAGTCAGTAGAGTAGGAGATAGAGGAGGAATGGACTGCGCGGAGGAGTGAGGGAGAGAGTGAATGAACTTAGAGAGGGCTAAAAGCTAGGTGCATTCGGGAAAGGTAGGAAGGAGGGAGTACGCACCTGGTCGGGTTCTTGTAGAAGATTCGATCGAATTTTGCCCATTTCATTCGATGAGGTTGCGCGAGGTAGTGGGGAGAAAATAAGCCGAGGGGCCGGAGACTTACCTGTTGACCAACAGATGTGGCTCAGCGTGCAGACGGAAGCCACGTGGTTGAGCACCACCGAGAGGCAGTTCRTGACTCTACCCCTTCGGCGCATTCAGGTTCGCGTATCCGGCCAAAGRGGGGGGGGTCTAAATGCATGAAAGATCAGTAAGGAAGGAAAATGATGATGTGTGGGTACGTACCTGGTTGGACGTGAGTGTGAGGCGAGGAGCCTGGGTGGCTGTTTGAGGTCCACTGCTGGGTTCTGTTGAAAGACATCGGACTGAGGGCCGTATCCGAAGGTGGCTTGGAAGGTGGCGAACCATCTGTGGAGGGTGAGAGTTCAGGGGGCGGGTAGGCAGGCGGCAACGCTGCTCCTCCTTCCTGCAGGCATCACTAACCCGTGTAGTACCAGGTTAACCGCGAGAGTGCAGACTTATCTGAGGGCTGGAGAAGTAAGGAGTAAGACCGCAGATTGACTGGGTACGGCTGATCAGCGGTTGTTACTCAGTTGCTTTTCGCAGAGCAGCTGC